GAGGAATGAATAAAAAAAAAATAAAAAAAATACATACATACATATGTACATACATACATATGTACATACATACATATAGTTCTTTTTTTGTTCGACTCTCACTTAAACATCTTTTAAACACAGCAAGAGAATTGCCGGATGAGTTACGTACTGACAAAACTGGTTTGCGCACATTGTATTAGAGATTAAAAAACATGTTCAAAATAAGTTTTGAACAACGATGACGTAGGGGAAGTTGGGGCAATGCCGGAGTTGGGGCAAAGCCGAAATTCGAGATATTTCGAAAACCGTAAGACATGGATGCCACCTGTCAGTGGTGCTCTGAAGCTTAAGTGACTACCAATTATCGCATGTTTGTTACGAGTCGTCATTCGGAATACTTCGACTGTGAGGGCGCCAAGAGCGTTTTCAAGGTACGTTTCCCTTGTACTATATGCGCCTTTGAAGCTGCATTTTTTACTCATTATGCTACCGTTTGTCTGGCCAATTCGGTCAAGTAATCTTTAGCATGTCTTTGCATAAGTGTGCTGCCTATTTGAAATTTATACAGCACGTTGAAAAGTTATGGGCCTGCAAATGAAAGTATGGCTGGCTGGGGTATAGCCGAAAACGTGCGATTACGCACGTGTTAAAAGCACGCTACGTGGACTTTACTGCTGTAGAATAGCAACGCGTATTTTTAGTCACACAAATTACACTTTCAACCGACACAACGGCCTGTTACCTATACAGGAATAATTTACCTGGCATTTTCTTATCATATCACACAATTATAACTTCCAGTGTGCACCGCGTCCTCAAGCTCTTGAAACGTGTGTCAGCTTTGATGAATTCTGGATAAAGTTTGAGATAAAATGGCAAAACATCAATGTCGGGATTCCCCGTAGATCATTTCTCCCATTTTCGGCTTTCCCCGCAGTCCGGGGCAACGCCGAAAAAGTCACTTCTTTGATATTTTTAGTTTGTGCGCTTAACGGTATGCGAATTCATCAAATGCGCCTGGTATGTTTGAAAGGCAAAAGACTGGCCTCTCGAATGACGCCAACAAGAATAGCTTATGTTGTCTACCTTGCGTGCTACGGGCGTCAGAAAAAAAGTCTTCGGCGTTCCCCCAACTTCCCCTACCACTATGGAAAACACCGTGCCATAAATTAATTAGTTTAGTTATAATTCCTGACAAATCGCCTATACCCCTTGAGCTGTAAATATAGGCAAATACGAGGTGAGGGTCTGGGAACTAGGAAACAGGTAGACATAATTTTGATAAAGCTGATTTGTCTGTGAAATCAATGAGCACCAGCCAGTTCTTTCAGTAATTTAGCTAGCAAGTATCGTGCTGCGTTCAAAGAGACGTTTACAGTTAGGTTCGAGCTTAAAAATAATATAGCAATGCAGTTATTGCGGAGAGGATTACGCCATATACTTGCTGGTATAATCTGCGGTTTTGCCAGATATTCTTGTTTTGTTGCCATGTGTAAATTGCTCAGTACAGACGACACATTGCCTACTCCGAACGACGCTTTTAAAACATTTTGTTCGTCTTGTTTTTCAAATGCATCTTCGGGTGAACTTCACCCTTCAGTCATAATCTAATCACTGTTCGGTGTCGATTCTACCAAGATTTTTCATGATCGTGAGGTAATGAACTATGAGCATGATGTAAATGTTTAGAGAACCTTAACCATGACTAACGGGTGAAGTCATCATATGTCTATGACAGCCCACTTGATATACCTACAGATTGGTGGAAATGATGGATGATGGAGTCACGGTCTGGCCTGATCGGACGTCATTTCTAGAGATTCACAGAACAGAGATTATACCTACGTGACTTACTTCTTTTAACCCGCGCCCGGCTGGGGGTCCTGGATTTCCACGCCCTGCTGGGGGGGGGTGTTTGAACACCCCCCCTTCTAACTCAGCTCCTGGGCCACGTAGCGATACGCGGAAGGCGGCGTTCGAAAGAGCGTCAAAAATAATGACGAAATCACTTCGGTCAATTTTTTGGTCAGGTCAAAGGTCAGGTCACCAGAGGTCATTGAAGGCAAAATTTCGCCGATTTCCAGGTCGAATGTCGACAATTTCCAAGAAGCCAACGCATAACTCGGGAACCAATAGAGCTACAGCGCCGCGGAAAAGCGCATTCGATAGCCCTATTAACGCCCTTTCTGAGTAATTTTCTCAGATTTGACCTAACGTCAACGGTTTTGCCTGCAGGGGGCAAAAACTGCAAAAATAGCCGATTTTTTCGGAAATAGTTTTTCTGCAATAACTTTTGACCCAAGACTTGTACGAGCTTACTTTTACCGGCATCGTGTTCCTCTCGTCAAGACGCATCGAATGAACTATAACTTGACCTTGAAAGGTCAACTTGAAAATTTGACCTCAGGTCAAGGTCATGACCTGACCGGAAAGGGTCATGTTGCATATCAGTCGATCCGTATCGTCGAGCTGAACACATCTAAGGCGTTTTCATCGCTCTAGCATGCCTCTATCAAAAGTTATTTGCGAAAAACTGTTAGATACCATTCGTGACCTAAGATGACCTCAGGGCATAAACAAGGGTCACGGACACCATTTTCATGTTCAGTGTGTCTAAACCACTTGTGATTCAGTGTTTGGGAGTGTTTATAATGTCTTTCGTCCAAAAGAGGCGCATTTCAATTTTCTCCCATTGACTTATAATGGGGAGGTCGCAAAATTGACCTGACCTTAGGTCATCGATATCAAAATTCTGAGATATACATTTTGTACATGCTATTGCTCTTAGCAATCGCTGAAAGTTTCAAAGCGATCGGTCACTCGGTGTAGCTATGAAAGACATTGAAACTTTTTATGAGGTGAGGTCACTTCAAGTGACCTGGTGACCTGACCTTGAATGACCTTGGTCTGAAATTTTCACAACATGTGCAGAATTGATGTATGATAAGGTGTACCAAAAACGGCGGCGCTCCGCGCCGCCGTTTTTGAGATATTCGCGAAAAACCACAAGGGGGGGTGTTCAAACACCCCCCCCCCAGCAGGGCGCGGGTTAAATGAACTCTACATCTTACGTGCTGACGAAAGTTAAAAACTTGAAACATCAAAACAACCTTTCAAGTATTAGCCGTGGCCCTGTTATAGAAACTAATAAATGCAACTATGTTTACTTAGCAAAGCATGTTTAAGCTATCATTGATTGCTCATATCACTTCGATGTTAATTGCTGCTACAACCTGACGAAACGCCATCCGTTCCCCCACTAACCTCATACAACTACGTCATAAATGATAACACACAACAGCTGAATGCAGGGTACCACCCTTTACAGCCTGTGTGAACTGCGCTTATTGACGGCACTAAAGCCATCACTTGAACTTAGACCGGCGAGACATTTCGCAGCACTTGTTGACAAGCGCTTTAGTGTTAGTGGGGTCGATACGTGTTCAATGTTGTTCATATTGTGTGATTAATCTTGGTGGGTTGAGTCGGACAAATTTGAACTGGTAATTCGAGGGCGCTGGACGCCAAATTAGCAGGGCAGAGGCTACAGGCGCATCCAATACATTGGGTGGATGTTGTTTTTGATGTAGAGGAGCCGTTCCTGCTGCTCGTTAGGCGGCACGGGCGGACATCGATAGCAGCGCCTCTATCGGTCACTAGGGAAAGCTGGGCTGTAGGCGACGATATACCAGCTGAGTTGTCACACGTTGAATAGGTTTATAGCCATCCGTCTTGTGAAAAAGTTGAACTCTTGCCTTCAATATTTCTACAGGCAATTTTAGAAGTGTCTTCACATGGATTACAAAACCGTTTAGATTATTGTATTCACTTCAAGCCTTCCCTATTGTTCTTGATGATGCTGGAACTATTTCTAATTAGTGTTTCTAGCTTAGTAAAAGAGCATACTGTGCAAACAATGAAAAAAGCATAAATGGAAGATTTTAAATGCAATTTTCTCTAACAATTAATGGTAAATTCTCTACATATCAAGGAAAAGGTGCATGCTATTTGATAATTTAAAGTTCTTGGGGCCAGTTGTTTTCTTCTTTTCTTACGTCGCCCCAATGGCCGCGAATACACTTGTGATAAACGCCTATCGTTATGTGTATTGCTATATCGCCTATATTCTTACGAGTCGAGTAATTGGCTTATCAAAAACAATGGAGAGAAGCCAGAAATAACGATAACACATAGTTACACTGCCACCCCCACCTGACAAGATAAGCAAGCAGGAATGGTTACCTACAGATAAATAAGATATCTGGACATGGTGTATGCGTAACTCTCATTTAATTACAATATTTTCATCATCTGCGAATTACGATTGAATCTAAGTGTTGTCAGTCGCACTAGAGCGGTAGCCTACTATGGACGTCAAACCCCTTGAGACCCCACTTTTTTGCGATAATTTTTAAATGCGTCAACTCTCGTTGATAATATTCTGGCAATGTGTGTTTCAGAACCTGCCGAAACTTTTATTACTAAGGTATTTTGACGCCAAACGATTATGAAAGGTATTTCTCATTCACTCGTAATGTTAAATTTCACGGAACGAATATGCTGTTTGGGTAGAGGCTACGCGCTCATGGGGCGGAGCCACGTAATGACGTCAGCGCTAAGCTCCGCCCAATTCGGCTCCTTGCTCGGCGACCGGTCACTCGCGTCTCTCGCTCCATTCAGGCTTGATGGTGGGCGGTAGCTGGTAGCGGTAGCGGGCGCTGGTAGATGGCATTTAGAGCAGATGGCGCTGGTGGCGGGGCACGAGTGTGGCCGAGCGCAAGCCTCTGCCCGGGCCTGAATTGACCTTAGCATTACGAGTGAATGAGAAGTACCTTCCATAATAGTTTGGCGTCAAAATACCTTAGTAATAAAAGTTTCGGCAGGTTCTGAAACATAGATTGCCAGAATATTGTCAACAAAAGTGGACGCATTTAAAAATTATCGCAAAAAAGTGGGGTCTCAAAGGGTTTGACGTTCATAGTAGTAGGTCATTACCGTACAATTTCCATGTCACTCACCTGTGTTACGCAGTTGGTAAAACTCCGCCTTCTTCTTGACCTCTCTGACCTTAGATGACCTTATGCAGCCTCGCTTGACCTTTCTTGACCTCTGCGATCTCAAATATTTTATGTGACCTTGCAGATCACTGAATATAATCCCGCAGTATCTAATCTGATTCCCTCACTCTCACTCTTCTCTCTCCCTTTCCTCTCTTCCTCTTTCCCTCTCTTCTCTTCCTCTTCCACTCCCCGCTCTGTCACTGGCCTTGGGTCTCTCCCGCTCTCCCCACTCCTCTCTATCGCTCACTCTCCCTCTGCACTCTCTGCTATGCGGTCCGGATTTCTGCCAGCGTCACTTCCGTGGAGACTGGGGAGGTTATCTGCTTCCGGTGTATCTGTATCTGGGTATCCCAGAGTATCTGCAACGAGTATCCGGTGTCACGTAACAAAACGAGCAGCAGCGGAGTTCCGACGCTACATCCTGTTACAGGTTATTGATGGGAGTGACCAAAGGCTTATTGTATATTTTCTACCGTCCTGATTGTCCGCTGGTCACTGTTAAATGTCTACTGGCAAATGTCCAATGTCTATTTCCTACCATAAAGTATGTATATAGTCCACTGTCCAAAGTTAATTGTCTATCGTGTACCTACTGTCAACAATCTGTTATCTACTATCCACCGTCTTCTCGCTACCGTCCACTGTCCACATAATCCCGTCCACTGTCCTCAGTCCACCGTCCACTTCCACGGTCTACTGTCTAATGAACACAGTCCACCTTCCACTGTCCACCGTCCACAGTCCACCGTCCACAATCTACTGTCCACCGTCCGCCCCACACTCTCTCTCTCACCACTCACCCCCTCTAACCTTCGCCACGCACCCGATCCCCACCGCGTCAGGTACAGAACTGTCACACATGTGTCCCTCCCTCCCCTCCCCTCCCCCTCCCCTACTAGCCCGCCCCGCCCCCAGCGGTGACATCACGGCCTTACCTGATACAGCGGCGCGCCGGACGAGCCCCTGGCGGTGGAAATCGGAACTATCTCGTGAGGGAGTGGGAAGCTTTTATGGTCATGATGGGCGTTGTGGATTGCGACGCTACTCCAAGTGCTAGTGCAGGGTTTAGGTATACGGTCTTGCTTGTAGCTGATATAGCTGAGCTATAACCCTATTCCTGGCGGGGGGGGGGGGCCTCAGGAGCCCCCCCTGAGGTTTTTTGGTTATTTCTCCCAAACGCGTTGAGCTAGGAAGCTCAAATTTTCTGACTTTTCCTAAAAGGCTTCTACGCAACATGTCTGAAAATTTTGAGTTGATCTGACCTCAGGTCAGGTCACCAGAGGCGGTTTGGTGACCCTACCTCAGAAAAGTTTGCAATCACGCCAGAGCTAGAGTTTTTGACCGATCAATTTCTTCTCTTCAGGCTTTAGTTAGGGTACCAGTATGTGCAATTTGTATATCTCGGAATTTTGATATCGGTGACCTAAGGTCAGGTCAGTTTCGCGACCTCCCCATTATAAGTCAATGGGGGAAAAATCAACTCCCTGTTTTTACCACTAAAACGGGTCGGAATGGCCCCATATACCATACATGACTTCATATACGATCAACCTTCACTACCTGAGGTCTGTTTTGCTGTTGGGCAGCTGTGAGGTCATGTGACGTCATCAAAGGTCACCAAAGGTTTTTGGCCAATAACTCCGTATAGGAACAAGATACAGACGCGTGGATGGTCTCATTGTGTTCAGCTCGTCAAGACGCATCGAATGATATACATGATGACCTCGAGGTCACGTGACCTGAGGTCAACCTTTGACCTTGACCTTGCGAGGTCAACATATATATCATTCGATGCGGATTGACGAGAGGATCACGATGATGCCCTTAGTTTGTTCCTATCTTGACTAATTCGAAAGTTATTCGAGAAAAACTCTCTCCATATCTAGCGCCGCCATTTTGACTTTTTCGACCCCTGTGACGTCATCTTTGACCTGACCTGAAAATGACCTCAGTAAAAATTGTAGATCTTGACCGTGCGTATCCGATGCCGTTTACCGTTTGTCGCTATCTTGCTTCGTTCTCGAGATCTCAGGGGGGGCCGAATCGGCCCCCCCCCGCCAGTTTCTTGTCCCGGCGGAGCCCGCCAGGAATAGGGGGAGGGCTATGCGCGAAACTTATTCTGATAAAATATTTACTTGTCATTTTACTTTAGGTCAGGTCACTTGACGCATCCTGATACGTATCGTGGCCTTAGATGACCTGGGGCTGGATTTGGAATTTTAACATGCACGGAAAAGATAGATGATAAATGTACCCTCGCCCATGTAGGGGGGGGTTGGTGCAACCCCCCCCCTGAGGTTTTTCGGAAATAGTGTAAAAACGGCGGCGCGCAGCGCCGCCAAATTTTGGGTACCTTATGGGGCAAGCCTTGCGCATCTTTTGATAAAAAAATTTGACCGGGTCATGTCAGGTCACGGAGTTATGACGTCACAAAGGGAACAGCCTCCGGCCGGATTTTCACAAACTGAGTGCCAACGCCCGAGGTTTCCTGCCGGTGGTACGAACATCGGTTGATGGATCGTGATGAAACTTCCCATGCATGTTGGGGCAAGTATTGGCTATCATATGGTATAAGAAACTTGACCGGGTCAGGTCAGGTCACGGAGCTATGACGTCACAAGAGGAACAGCGTCCGGTACTATTTTTGAAAAGCGCCCGAACCACTATTTTGCTAATTCTTGTCAGCTCAATGGGAATATGGAGCAATATTAGCTTCTATAGGGAGCAAATGGACCTCCCAAATCCAAAAATACAATCAGATTTCAAAAATTTAAATTTTGATTTTTCGAATTTCTGCCGCCGACTGTGACCTTGCCGACTTCCGGCGCTCCCAACGCGCCATTTTTAGAGCTAGGGAAACGAAATACATACCAAACGATAGAGAATTGATCAAGGAACACGATAGTGAAGGTTTCAAGTCGATATCTCCCACCGTTTTGCCGCAATCGCCGCGGAAAGTTGAAAAAAGTCTATTTTTCCGAAAATTTGACCTTTGACCGGTCAAAAGTAGGTCAAATGTTGACCTAGGACCAAAAAATATACCACCAATCGCGAGATCTCGGCGAGAGCAATCCGATGGTCTTTTCCGCTAAGCTCTACGACGCTCCGTTTTCAAACGCCAAGGGGGGGGGGTCGCACCAACCCCCCCCCTGCATGGGCGAAGGTGGCAGATCGCCGTTTACGGGCGAGGGTTAACCCGCGCCCTGGTGGGGTCTGTTTATAACGCGACCTGGTCCCAGCCAGCAATTTTGCTCCGGGCCCAAGCAGGCTCAAGTGCGGATTGCCCGAGATTTTTAGTCGGGCTAAAGTCGGCTAGGGCTTGGGCTAGAGTCGGCGTATGACACAAAAACGCCGACTAAAGCCCATGCTCTGCCGGAGGTATGCCCGCTCTGCGAGCTCCGGACAGCCGTAGTTTAGCCCTAGTTTAGCGACGATTGGCGTTAGCCCGATTTAAGCCCGAGCAGTGAATCCATTTATATAATGGAGATTACTCTGGGCCCGAGCGGGCTGAACTCTGGCAAGCCCACTCTGTGTGCCCTGTCTATCCCGACTTAAGCCATAGAAGTGAATGGGGTTTATACATTGCAAACTGCTGTGGCTTTGCTCGGGTTCGGCTCGAGTGACGGCTCCTGTTTTCTCAAGTCTCGACTTGACTTCATCTTGCTTTTGCTTCACACTGGATCAAGTAGCAAGGAGCAGCCAATGCACTTTCAGCAGGTTGTGCGGTTTCAATGCATATTTAAAATTGTTACGGTCACTCATATGCTCTGTTAACCGGTCATCGAGCATTGCGAAAGGAAAGTAGTGGTTGACTTTGATTGAATGTATATTTCAAACGACTACAGACACTCAAATGAAACACAAATACATGAAACAGTGGACTGCAAACTGCAGCAATAATATGGCATGAGTCATGAAAAAGCGCCATCAAAACTATAAAACAATCAAAGGCCCGCTAGCCTCCCTCCCCGTTCATAATACTTGGTTGAACACTCAACCGAAAGCACAAAGTATAAGGACAGCAAGTAATCGCTCATAAGACATAAAGCAATTAGCAAACAATCGTTTATAGGGAACTTCACTCTGGTGAATGGGAGCTTTGGAGGCGTCTGGCTCCTCCACACACATATCACATCTGCAGTAGGTGGTCGGCCAACTTTCGGCGCAGTTTCCGTATCTCCGTAGGTATACCGTATTTCCGTAGATATACCTACTTAATTATAAGCAGGCAGTTTCCGCTAAACCACTTGGCGAGGGCGACTGCGGCGTCCACCCGGTCCTGGTTTGTATCGTTTGTATAACTATTCCATTTTTTTGGAACCATTTGCTCTAATGGTACGTACCTGAAAAAGAGATTAATTGGTTTAATTTACATTGCATGTTTGCTTGAAAAATAACTTATTGTTGCATCAATACTGTAAAAGCACTTCTCATTGATCCGTATAAAATGGTCATTCGATTTTCAACGCGGACAGAGAATGAGCGTGCTCGGTGATAAGTAAATAAATATTTGTGTTTTGTATTTCATTTTCCTGGTTCAGAAGTGCTGGTATTTCACAAAGATATAAAGGCACGGAATGCGCCTTAATTATGCCGCTTTTCTGAGCGGCATATTGAGCGAGGGTATAAGTCGCCAGGCTGAACAGCTATTCAGATTCATGTTTGATGGCGTGAAATTCAGTCAAAATCATGACGTTTACATACGATCAAGCGCACCATTCAATACACTTACCTACCGTAAAACTCCACGCCAGTCCACTTGATAAGAGCAGTGAGCACTATCCCTTCTTCGCGCTGTCACACGCGCCCAAACAATGCCCCAACACCGGTGTGTCGTTTCGTCGCACAGCGCACAGACTGTCACAAACGCTGCACATGATTGGCGCAGAACTGCGCATGCGCGAACAGCCGAACAAGTATGGCTAAGCTCCGGCTTTACTCCAGTTAGCCGAAGGACACAGCCAGCTTGATCAGCCCGCACTCCGCCCAAGTTAAGCCTGTTTTGGATGCGCGGGCAGATGTCGGGCTGAGCTACTGCTATCCGCACGTGGGCATAGCTGCGGCATGCCCCAGCTCAGCCCTAGTAAAAAATGCATTGGTTTTGATCAAAGTGGGCAAACCCAAGCTAAGCCCAAGCTGCCCGACGTTTGCCACAGTTCAGCCCAAGCGAATTGCTGGCTGGGGTGGGGGGGGGGGCTATTTTTTGCCCCCCCCCCCTCGTATCTCCGAAACTACTGGACGGATCCGGAAAATTCAAACGGCGTTCGAAAGGCCTGTCAAATTTGTCGAGAGAAACCCAATTTCATTGACCTCGGGGTCACCGATGACGTCACAGGTCAGGTCAAAGATGAAATGTTTCACCGTTCCCGGGTCTGCTAGGGAATGCGCTATAACACCGAGGAAAACGCATTTTGTCGATAATCAGCGATAGGGCGTCAGTTGCCTAGTAGATATGTTGCTATTAGAGGTCACTGACAATACCAGGTCAGGTCACAGGTCAGGTCACCAAGGGTCACAGGTCAGGTCACATGAGCCCAACTTTATTAAGGTTGTGTGATGCATGTTTTATGGCCAATTTTTCATTTCCAACTCAATGGTGTTGGTTATAAGACTATCAGGTACGGCTGAGGTCACTTTCTGGTGAAGTTCAGGTCAAGGTCAGGTCAAGGTCAGGCCAAAAAAGGTCAAATTTTAAAGTTGATAGTTTTGCATAAAATGGGTATCTATTCGATGCAGCTCGTCACGGGGAGTCTAATGGTGGTCTTTGTTTTGCGCTACGAGGTCTAGAATTGCTAAAAATTGAGTTTGAAAATTTGACGTCATCAATTTTGAACAGTTTTTTCGCTATAACTTCG